TTAGGATTTAAAAGTTTTCTTTTCATAAGACTAAATTTAAATGTGTTGATGATGGCGTCCCAATCATCACCGCTACTGTGCCCAATCGATCGAACTATTGCCGGCCTACTCGATTTTGGCCAAGTCACCGGAATTTTACAGTTTACGGCAAGGTGGCTATAGACGATCATGGCTGGAGAAAAACTTGTTTTGTTGGTATTAAATACGGAATATCTCAATGGACCAAAAAAAAGGGGTATATTGTCTCAAAACTTATGTCTATTGAAGGTTCTTGATTTTGTTGAGAACAACATATATACTTTATAATGCCTAAGAATACACAGTATCTATTGATAGTAATTTGAGCAAGTTTTTTCTTTTTTCACAAACGAACAACTTATTAGGCGGCACCAAACGATCAAACCCCCATAGAGTAGAGGGGGATGAAAATGCTATATCCACTGAATTGATACTTCGTTTTGCTTGCATTGGCAAATCTCACTAGCTCCACAATGTTTAAATGCCACTTTTCCAGTTTCAGAAAAATATTTCACATTAGAATCTATGAATTATATTAAAAATAATATAATTCACAAATTTGTGATATCAACCACATTTAAAATTCTAATTAAATTAGGGAGCTTATGTCTAGAGATTGGAATGTAAAACTTAAACAATGTAATTTTGTGAGTGATTATATAGCTTCACTGGCGGCGACGAATCTGGTAAGATTAACACGTATGGAGATACCTCTTCCAGGTGCCTTTTGACGGCTTAGCCACGATATAATAGGTGTAGTGTATTCTCGACGGACTGTAAGGTAGTATCTCTTGTATATAGGCCTGACAAGCAAAAAAAAATAAAATAAAATGCTAATTAAATTTAGCCATTTTCTTGCTTAACCTACAATTAATCGATATTAATTTTGTCAAATGGAATCAAAATAATTTGTGTCATTACTTGTGAGTCATATAGATTGGATTAAATGTCAACTCAACGATAACAACTAATGTTTAATTAATCCGACCAACCAAGCTATTTCATACGTAAGACATTAACCCTAACAAAAGTCGTCTATCTCTCTCATGATTACTCATAATCAAATATAAGCAGATTAAACCAAAACTAGAGCAAGATAATCGATCCTACAAACTGCCAGCTTGTCATAGTTCGATTTCATCATCTACCTTCCAAAATGCACGAACACAAACAACAGAAAATGTGTGGTATGGGGCTATTTGGGTACACGAAATGATTGAAAGAAATGTGGGCTCTCACTTATCATTTAGGGGTTTTGATCTTGAACCTTCTAAAATTTATTACAATAACACCAATTCAAATTCAGCAATATGTATCACGAATATAGTGTAAATTACAGTAGGGTTACATTATACTACGGTCATGTCCCTTTCCAACAATGATCTTCCGGTGAATACGACTCATTTCAGCGTAAAATACGGCGCCATTCTCATGAATGTAATTATTTTAGAATTATTAATCCCCTACTCCAAAATTTTTTTCCAGTTAAAATCATGAACTAAAACTAAAATCCAAATTGATCAATAATTTTGGGACAGAGAGTTGTACAAAAAATGAAAATTGAAATTGAACATTAATTTTGAGACAGAAGGAACATTATTTTAGTCCCAACAAAAACATGATTAAGTATCGGATCACAAACGTTAAAGTATTCTCATATTCTCAAACACCTCTAAAAGCATGAATCCAGCTACAACGTTATCAAATGATTTGTTGAAGCTTAAATTGACCGAGTGAATTGTTGTTATCACAACATAATTTTATTTTCCAGAAATTATTGTCAGTATAAAGAGAAAGGAAACGACATGTTCGCAGAAGAAAAACTACATCACGTAACTCGCCAACTAGTAGTACTTACTATTCTACGTTTGATATTTTCATGAGTACTGTCCAAAAAAGTACGTGTGTAATTACTTACAATGATTAAAACCGTTCATGAAAATTTACCCCACGATATATTAGAGGTTTGTTCGTTGAATATAATTGGTGTAATACTTTATTCCCCTCTTCACGTTGAGTAATTTCCAAAATCTTAGAGTGTCAAGGTCAATCTACACAGGATAAATTTCTACTAATAATGGCGGCTTAAGAGAAAGAAATACATTGAAGATAAGGTTCAAATTCAAACTTATTTTGATAAGTATGATAGACAACACCTTGGCATTCTTATGGCGGTTGTAAGCCACGTCTTAATTTCATATGATTATGATTGAATAGGACATGTGCAAAATCTAGGTTCTAAGCAATATTTATTTTTGGATCCTAATAATACTTTTAATGTTATGTATTCTAAAGAATCTTGGAATATGATTATTCAAAAGCGTTATATTTGAGTGAGTATTTTTATATTTTCAAAATAATTATCGTGTTTACTATATTAGTATAACAAATAAAATGATCATTCCAAGCCAAAATACTAATGAGAGATTGAAAAGCCGACCCCAATATTTTAGCCGCAAATACTTTTTGGCCCGAAAAATAGTTTACACAAAATTTTTTATAATTTTTTTGGCAATTCAACAAAAATATAAGCATTAATTATCCATAAATTCTCGATTTTTCTTCTATTTATTTGTTTCCAACTCAAAATATCCCCTTACATCTATCTTAGTTGTGAGAATATATTAGCATTTTCATCAAATTAATTCTGCTCATTATGAAATTGTAATATTTTTGGAGACAATTTTTCCTCTCTTTTTTTTTCCATTTAACTGGACTATTTTTTTTTTAGAGTGAAGGAGTACTATAATTATAAATTGTCTTTAAATTTTATTCTTATATAAGCATCTAAACTATATTATGTAGAAGAAGTGATTGTACTACTATTAAGATCCACGCCTTCATCCGTACTCCAAACACAAACTTCCATACTTATAACACTTATAAATTGTTGATACAAGAATAAAACGGAAAAACAAAGACCAAACGATAGATTATAAAATCTAGGGCGTTGACATTGAGTTTTCTTATCTTATTTTTGATGTATATCTATCCCTATCTAGCTTCCGCTTGCATTAGTAAATGTTTCTCAAAGATAATAAATGAATAAAAACAATAGCCCTTTGTAATTTCGGATTTTCCTTTGGTTTAGTAAGTTGTAGTATTTAATTTGGTTGTTTAAGACCGTGATGATTTGTTCATGGTTCTTATCTTTTCTTCAATTACTCCAAACTTAAACTCTCAAAAGTGTATTTTCACTATTCGCTTTTCTATACTATTGTTACTATTTCAAATTGATTGCTCTGTTTAGATCTTCGATTTTGGTAATAATCATTTTGAGAGAAAGAACTGGCTACTAGTAATCTCTTTTACTCTTGAATATAGTTCAAATTTATTTGTTATAAAGAGACAAAGAATATTTTATACGATAATAATTACCTTTCTAAAGTGCTTTCCAACATACTTTTCATATGTAAATGGTAAAGTATTAGGGGAACTATAATAAAATAATCTTATGGTACTACTTTTTTTTTTTTAATAACTAGTGGAATCAGTGTAAAATTTGCATTCGTGACCGTGAATGAAAACCGTCAATGTCCTAAACACATGTAATTTTTGTCTTGTTCACATTGTCAAACTTGTCCAACTTGTTGCTGTCGAGACAAAAACATGTACATACGATTAATTCGGTATCTAAAATTTCGAAAAAAAAAAACCGACAATTTTATTCTAATTGATCCAATAGAAACTTTCAACAGAGCAGATCTGATGGAAGGATATTTACTTTTTTTAGTCCATTTCAGTTATGTTTAGTCAGTTTTTTCCCTTAAAAAGCTACCAATATCTCATAACAAATTATTCTGTCACCATATGCGTCATAATATTCATACTTTAATCTATAAGATCAAGAAATATTCTTCTACTTTATAAAATGGGAAAAGTGTAAATTATGAGATAATGTATACGGCAGTGAGTTATTATTATTATTATTATTATTATTTATTATTATTATTTGTGCTGCATCTGTGAAGTCGTCTACACATTGACATTATTTTCACAAAAATAATGTCAATAATGTACAATGATAGAAAAAGCAGATTTATTATTTTGATAATGTCATAAGAATTTTCATAATACATAAAAACACAATCAAATAAATACAAAAACATCATTGTTGGGATCGTTTCATCTTGTAAACTTACTGATGCACCTGTTGTAACCAAAAATACAAAAAGGAAAAAATTGAAATCACATTAAGATTAACTAGGAAATATAATACTCCCTCCGTCCCATAATTATTGTCCAGTTTTACTAAAATGAAAGATTTTATTTTTGGTCAAATTTAACTATATTTTATCTTAAACAACCAGATATACCCCTACATAAGTAATTGTTTAACCACTAAAATTTTATGGATAATGTTTTTTACTAAGGACAAATGTGTAACTTGATCCATAAAAAGTCAAATTAGACAATAATTTTGGGACAAAATTTTTTGGGCAAAGTGGACAATAATTATGGGACGGAGAGAGTATATATTTCCTGTGTCCGCATTAGACTTTACTTAGTGTTTTTTACTCTCTCTGTCCCAAAATTATTGTCGAATTTGAAATTTCACTTTTATTACAATTTGACTAGAAATGAAAACTCAAACTGGACAATAATTATATGACGGAAGGAGTATTTCCTTGACCGCATGTTGACAACAATTATCTATTTGACCAACGTGGATGAACTTTTTTTTCTACTGAGCAGCAGCCATGATGGCTGGAAAAAAAAAATATTACGACCTATAATCCTATATCATTGATTTTCTTAAAAAGTTTACCTTCCGGAATTCCGCCCGCAGATCGAATCGAACACAGCACAAGAATGCAGGATCGCATTCGCATATTCTAGAGTTTGTTACTACACCAGTTAGTAACTAAGCCCAATAAAAAAAAAAGAAAAAAGAAGAAGTTAGGTCAGTCAAATACTATGATAAAATATTAGAAATGATTAAAGTAGGAACAATATCTCCACTTATTTATTATAAGTCGTACGTTATGTAGTATTTGAATAATGATTAAGGTCCCAACAAACGTTAATTACTTTTTTATTCCCTAATTGCCAATTTAGATACTCGGACAATCAGATTAGATGCGTCGTAGAAAAACATCGTGTGCGTCCAACTGTAAGTATTGAAAATGATTGTATTCGTGTATTTACCAAAAAACTTGACTAATCTCACAGTGATTTGGAAGTGAAAAATGGAAAGTAATACAAACCGGGATGCGACTTCTTTTTCTGTCTGTCTTCTTCCATCATTCATATCAAATATATCTGACCAATTAAATTTCTCCAACGAAAAAATACGAAAGGGAAACAATTCAAATTAAAAACCCAAAAATAGAAATTACATAAAATTTACAGATAAGCAACTGGGTTGGGGAGAGGAGGGTAAGGGGGGACAGAGAGGAGGAGACATTTTGGACACAGAGATTTTCGTCCCTTTGTTTTTTTAATGTGGAATTTCTTCTTCTTCATCTTCAAGATGGTGTTTTTATTAAAGCTGGAAAATTTGGAATAAGGTTAAAAAATTTTTTCCTTTTACTTGCGTCAAACAATTCAAAGGGTGAAAAAAAGAAGAGATTTTGTCCCTCTTTAGCAGCCTTTCTTCTCTCTCCTGAAGTTGTTGTTGTCAGTTTTAATAAACTGCTCAGCTCTGTCTCTCTGTTTTATAGATGGCCTCTTTCTCTCTGTCCATCTGTTCTTGAGTTCTTGAAGTTTTGTGCTGAACCCAGATACCATAATTCTGTTTTGAGAGAAAAAAAAAAATAAAAAGAAAGAAGGAAGAAAATTTGTAGGGAGATAAGGAAGAACTGGCTCTGTTGGTCAAGAAAAGTAGTGGGGTTTAATTGATTGGATTCATTTGAGAATTCTTATCAGCAGGACGGGTTTTTCCTCTATTGGGTTTTTAGTCCTGTGGCTAGAATCGATTGATTTCGAGGTCCTAAGCTGACCCCACTCGGAGCTTATAATTTCCCCTTAAAACATTAAAAATCAAATCTTTATAGGTTCATCATACATAGTACGTAGTTCAATCAGCTGTTCATTTTGTTTTGGGTTTTGGTTGTTGAGGCTTTTTCTGGACGCCCAACTTGGATCCCGATGGAAACTGAATTGAGTTTGTGGTTTGATTGAGGTTTATCAGCTTTATTGACAAACTGCTGAAGATGGCTTCTGGGTTGGAAATTGATGAGGAACATGAAACTAAAGGCAACATGTGGGTTCTGGAACAGAAACTTGATCAGCCTATGGATGAGGAAGGTGGAAGGTTAAAGAATATGCTCCTGGAAAAGGTAACTGCTTTATGATTTCATATATTGGTGCATCAGTATCAACAACATTCGAAATTTTTTGGAAGCTGGAGATGTCGCTGTACATCTCTATTTATGATATTCAAATATTCCTTTTTGATGCCTGAATGCCAGGCAACAAGCTTACACCTTTTTGTGGACTTCTTTGATGGGGATGCTTTTTTCTTTTCTTTTTTAAATTTGATTCCTAGTAGTTGTATTTTGCTTGAACTCCTTCATCCAGAAATTCTTGTCATCTGTCTATTTTAGGTTTTAAAATATGATGATTCTCCTGTGTTGGAGATTTGGTTTTGATTTTTGTCTTTTTGAATAATGGTCAATCTTTGTTTTGATTGTCAATTTGTTGTGTTCTTAGGAAATGGAACTTCTTCTGGGCTCATTGTGTTCCTGATACTTTTTGTTGATGAAACAGAAATACTCAGCCTTATTGCTATTGCGGTTGGCATTTCAAAGTCTGGGAGTAGTGTATGGAGACCTGGGAACATCTCCATTGTATGTTTTCTACAATACTTTTCCAAAGGGAATCGATGATCCAGAGGAAGTTATTGGCGCACTTTCACTGATCATATACTCCCTTACACTTATCCCTCTCCTGAAATATGTTTTCATAGTCTGCCGGGCAAATGACAATGGTCAAGGTAAGCCGATGGTCATCCTCTTGTACTCATTCTGATTTTGGTTATGTCTGTAGCAAAGTGATGATATAATTCCTCGTATGACTAGGAGAAAGGGGACTCTAACTAGCTTGATTGTTAGGTTGTCTTATGATGTTTACTCTTGCATATCAGCATAAATTGTATTAAAAAGTTGAATTGATATCGGGAAATACTCAGTAATTTGTGTCTGAATAAGCAGGGCAGAACCTGAAGTTGAACTAGTTGACATGTAATAAGCTGTGGTAGTATTTCAGAGAGATAAAAGTCAAATACCTCAAGGTGCACTCTTGTGTTTGTCATCCTTTTACTCATAGTCAATATTCAACTGGTGTAATTTCCACCATATTTTGTTTTCTCCTTCCCTTCCCAGGCTCCCTTTCTTGTATGATAACAGATTGGTTTTGTTCAATTAATCTCCACGTAGTCGAATGAGTGTTTGGATGCAGAGTGTTTTGATTGGTTTTTGTGAACAGTTTTGTTTGTATTTCATAATATTCATGGATTTGTGGTCTTGATAAGCATTTCTTGGAGCTCGCTTTGCTCACAAACTTTGATTTTCATAGCTTTGTAGCTTGCTAAATGTGTGTGGCCTATTTATTAATATTTTCATCAAATTTTATCTTTAGGTGGAACTTTTGCTCTTTACTCATTACTCTGTCGACATGCAAGGATAAAAACAATTCCCAATCAACATCGTACTGATGAGGAGCTCACAACGTACAGCCGCAATACATTTCATGAGCACTCATTTGCTGCAAAAACCAAAAGATGGTTGGAGGCACGAGTTTTCAGGAAAAATGCACTTCTCGTGCTAGTGCTTGCTGGAACTTGCATGGTTGTTGGAGATGGTATTCTTACTCCAGCAATATCAGGTGAAGATTATGTTATCTTTTGTCCTCGTAACATTTTTTCAGTCTATTTCCAAGTTTTATCTGGGGGGAGTTTCCATGTGTTGAGAGTGCCACGTGTTTAAGCTGGATTGAGTTTCCCCCATGACTCAGAAAAATCTGTATTAGAGTTCCTTGGATGTGATTCATTTCTTGAAGTGCTGCCTTGAGTTTGGTTTTATGTGTCTGACTGATGTCCGTTGGAGTTCTATTTGAGTCTCATTCATATCATCAAGTGCAGGATAAAGGTACTGATCATAAAGAATATCATTGTGGTTTGTTGAGTGAGTCAACTGAGTGTGTTCCTATGAAATTTATCCTATCTTGTACGGTTTCCTTTTCCGCGAATAGTTTGACAAGCATTCTTTCCCGAAATATTTATGAGAATGTTGACATCAACGGATTTGATCTGAGATGCAGCCGTGATGTTAGAAAGTTTCAGAGCCAGTTAGGAACTATACTTTCCAGATCAGTTGTGATATTGTATATTTTGTGTGATATTTTGTGTGATATTTTGTGTCGTTGACTAAATAAAATGCAACTCTTCTGACCAAAAGGAACGATTTGTCTTCTTTGATAAGCTTTAGATGTCTTCAATATCAGCGTCTGCCTTTCAACCAATAAAGGTGGTGAACTGTATTAAGCACTTCCCCTTCGTAACTGTTCACTGTCTACTGTTTGCTCTTTCATTCTGAGTTTTGTTGCTGGCTGAGGAGAATGAATGTTGTTTTTATTCTTCTTCTTAGAAACTATGTGAATAAGATCCTCAAGTCTTTTTAGTCCAGTTTATGCAAGGACGCATCTTTTCCAGAGTCTGGAATGTATAATTTACCACAATATTCTTAACCAGAATGTGTTTCCCAGTTCTTTCGGCATCAGGTGGAATCAGGGTGAACAATCCGAAGATGGACACTGGTACTTCTGTACTCTTGAATCTCCTGCTACTTCCTTTGATATCATAGTATCGACATAGTATTCAGCTCTTCTTGTTGCTGCAGGTGTGGTTGTCATTGTGGCAGTTGTCATATTGATAGGCTTATTTAGCGTGCAACACTACGGAACAGATAAGGTCGGTTGGCTATTTGCTCCAGTGGTGCTACTTTGGTTTTTGTTGATCGGAGGCATTGGTATCTTTAACATTTGGAAGTATGATAGCTCTGTACTGAGAGCTTTCTCCCCTGTGTACATCTATCGATATTTTAGAAAGCTAAAGAAAGATGGATGGAGTTCACTTGGAGGAATCATGCTCAGTATTACAGGTTTTTTCTCATTCCTGGTCTCTTAAGTCCGTCAACGAGTATCTTTGGAAAATATTTGAATTTCTGGAAGTAGTAAAAAACTAAATATATAGAGATCCTGAGTAGTGTGCTAATCAACTACTGCAGGTACCGAAGCACTTTTCGCAGATCTTGCTCATTTTCCTGTTTCGGCTGTACAGCTGGCTTTTACGGCTATAGTATTTCCCTGCCTTCTTTTAGCTTATTCCGGACAGGCAGCTTACCTAATGCAAAATAAAGAGCATGTTGTTGATTCATTTTATCGTTCTATTCCAGGTATGCCTAACATTTATCCCTGTTATACGTTAATTCCAATGATGGAGTCTCTTCACTTTATTTTATAGGCCCTCCGTGCTGTGTGACACGTTGTAATTTTAGCGCTCATGTATCCTGTCAATGGCTTATTTAAATTGTTCATGTTTTACCAGGATGTTTGCATTAGTAAGTAAATAATATATATTTTGTAACTTCAGTTACACGAGTCTCTGAATATTGCAGACAGCATATATTGGCCCACATTTGTTGTTGCAACTTTAGCTGCCATTGTTGCTAGTCAAGCTACCATATCTGCGACTTTTTCCATAATAAAGCAGGCTGTTGCATTGGGATGTTTTCCAAGAGTTAAGATTGTTCATACGTCGAAGAACTTTCTTGGACAAGTATATATTCCTGACATGAATTGGATCCTCATGATCCTTTGCATTGCTGTCACTGCTGGGTTCAAGAATCAAAGCCAAATTGGCAATGCATATGGTGAGTTTATTGGACATTAATTCTATTGCTTTGCATGGATCTTTTTTGATTACTGTCATAGTTGTTCAATTTGTGAGCCTGAAGTTGGAGAAGATGTTAAAAAAATACACGTTGTCTCGATTGTATGCTTTTAAAAATTTGTCATTGGAAAATTTCAAAGAGATCCTGATGTTGTGGATTAGCCTCTTCATAAGATTGTTAGGATGTATAGATTTTGGGATCCAGAGTTTGGTACACCGTAATGGATGTCAGAAGCTACTTTTGAGTTAGTGGGTTTCATTTTCCAAAGTTGATTTTGGTTTTCTGATTAGACAAGAAATCGCTGAATTCTGTGGGATGCAGGGTGATGATTCAGTAGTTCATTGTGCATTCCCTTTTTTCAGGTTAACAAGTTGCGCTGCTTTCTTCAAAGATCAAAATACTGTGTAACCACCTTTTTCCCTTTGTTATTTCAGGGACAGCTGTTGTAATAGTCATGCTAGCTACCACACTGCTAATGACACTAATAATGTTGTTAGTTTGGCACTGCCCCTGGATTCTGGTTCTATTGTTCACGGTCCTATCTCTGGTAGTTGAGGGTACCTACTTCTCTGCAGTGCTGCTGAAAGTAGATCAGGGTGGCTGGGTTCCCCTCGTGATCGCTGCAGTCTTTCTTATTGTGATGTATATCTGGCATTACGGTACTCTTAAGCGCTATGAATTCGAGATGCATAGTAAGGTCTCAATGGCGTGGCTTCTCGGACTTGGTCCCAGCCTAGGACTTGTACGTGTGCCTGGCATTGGACTTGTTTACACGGAGCTAGCTAGTGGAGTTCCGCACATATTTTCCCATTTCATAACAAATTTGCCTGCTATACATTCAGTAGTTGTGCTGGTCTGTGTGAAGTACCTACCAGTCTACACGGTCCCAGAGGAAGAAAGGTTTCTTGTGAAGCGGATAGGACCCAAAAACTTCCATATGTTCCGGTGTGTTGCTAGGTATGGCTACAAAGACCTTCACAGGAAGGATGACAATTTTGAGAAGAAGCTTTTCGACAGCCTATTTCTGTTTGTCCGGCTTGAGTCGATGATGGAAGGGTGTTCGGACTCGGATGAGTACAGCTTATATGGACAGCAGACACAGCACTCAAGAGACTTGTTTCTGAGAGACAATACCAACATGTCGTCTTCCAATGCCGACCTTACCCTATCATCGGTCGACTCCATCGTGCCTGTCAAATCACCCCCAAACGCAACCACAACAACATCATCGGGGCAGGAAAGCAGTCATACCGAAGGGGACGAGCTAGAGTTCTTGAATAGTTGTAGAGATGCCGGGGTGGTGCACATACTGGGGAACACGGTGGTTAGGGCGAGGAGGGATTCAAGGTTCCCTAAAAAGATTGCTATAGATTATATTTATGCGTTTCTTAGGAAGATTTGCAGGGAAAACAGTGTCATATTTCATGTCCCCCATGAAAGCCTCTTGAATGTTGGACAGATATTTTATGTATGATGAATAAAATTTATCGTTATGATTAGTTTTTAAAAAAAAAAAGTAGTCAATTTTGGTATCTTGCCGTTTGGCTTCCTCTGATTTTATTATCTCAGATTTCATTCATTTAATGTCATAGTATATCGGCCTGCTGGACATTATCACTCGATTTAAGGTCCCATTTAGGAATCATTGCTAAAACTAACTGGTCAAAGAGTGTGATCGATAGCATAAGATACAAGATTTGTTCCCATAAAAAACATATACTACCTCCGTCCCAAAAAAATAGTCCACATTGAGTTTTTAAATTTGTATTAAAAATAGTACAAAATTCAAAACTTGAAACTAATCTGACGAAAACAATCTATCAAAAAAAAAAAAAAAATCTGATGAAAACAACACCGTACTAAATGTTTTTTTTTTTTTAAAAAATATTTACCACAAAACTTTAGAAATAAAGTTGTAATGCATACATACAACACGATTTTGTAATAAAAACCCTAGTAAACATATGTAGCGGTGAAATGGCCATTAATATATATAAAAAAAACATAATATTCAAAAACAGGATTAAATCCATAAACCATTAACCATCAGTATATTAATATTCTATAAATTACATATGAAAATTTCCATTTGCCTATAGGAAATCATTATCCATTAGTTATTACTGGTTCCAATCTCGGACAAATAGAAAATGTTTTGGTGCTGGATTGTTTACACCCGCAATATAGAAACCCTCTTCTTTCACCAACCAATAACAAGCTTCACGGCAATATTTTCCGACCAAAGGTCCATTGAAAACAGTGAACACCGTCTCCCTGATATTCCAATCGAGAAAATCACAATACCAATCGGGATCACCACCAGGACTTGAAGAATCAAACGGGGTGTCCCATTGTAACTGTTGCCCGACGTGAACACTTTGGAGCCCTAAATCCTGATCTAAGGGTTTAGATTTGCATCGAACCCCCAACGGATTCTCCGTGGCACGAAGATTGTTCTCTATATGAACCGTGTAACGGTTTTGTTTAGCTGCAGCAGCTGATGTCACCAATTCCGTAATTAGGAGGAGGATGATGATGATCATTAGAGATGATGGAAAGGCAAAAAGGATTCTTGATTGGGTTTGGCTCATCATCTTGAATATGTGATTTGCTTTTCATGGTACTATATATTATACTATTATATGTAGATATGCATGAATTAACCTTTGTGTGTTTTAGGCTTTTTTTTTTTTTTGTATATGTAGATATGCTATTAAATGTAGATATGCATGAATTAACCTTTGTGTGTTTTAACCTTTGTGTGTTTTAACCTTTGTGTGTTTTAGGCTATTATATGTAGATATGCATGAACATATATGAAGATCTCTGTCATTAAAGTTTTCTTCTTTTAACGTCTCTGTAAAATTCTAAGAAGATGAAGATTAATTTCTAAAATGGATTTTTTTTTTTTGAACCATATGTAATACTAAGATTTAGAGCTGAAACTATCAATTAATTTGACTATGGTACTCCAATGCGGAACCTTGTTCAAATCTAATACATGATAGGAGCATATTCACCTCTTGAGAACAAAATGCATTTTCTTTGTCCTTACATTACCAAGTAAGTACATTATGTTATTATGATTTATGTCCTGCATTTATCTTATGATGAAATATTGTGTGCAGTTGTTGCGGATATGTTACTGCATAAGGTATCAATAATGTTAGAGGTAATTAATTAAATTTACTCATACAAGCTTAAGAACAAGATATTTTATTTGTAGCCATGAAATGGTTTAAACCTGAAATCTTGAAACCGAACGTATGAGATATCAATTGAAATTTATTAAATAAAAAATTTGATGAATTCCTGATGAATTCTCTCAATTTAAAAGATTTATTCATCCAATTCAGTGATTTTTATTTTTGAAATATTGACTATCTTTCGGAGACGGGTGGAGTATTTTTTTTTTAATTTCTTTTAGTTGTTGTGCTGTATATATTTTAGTGAATTGACTATATTGTGTTGTAATAAGACTGATGACTTGCGGATTTTTGTTTTGTTTTCACGGAAAATTACTCGCGGAAACGATAAAGCAATTGGCGGTGCTTGGTGTCTGTACATGTGCACACGTTTTCTTCTGTTATTTACACATCCAATTAAGTGCAAATAATGTTGACGTAGATGTGTTATGTTAATTAATCCAATCCAATTTATATGACTGCAAAGCTAATACTTTTTCTGTCCCAAAATTATTGTCCAGTTTGAGATTTTACTTTTAGTACAATTTGAACTAAAAATGAAAACTCAAACTAGACAATAATTATAGGACGGGGGGAATTTATGTGTACTCTTGGTGAGATGGATGAGTACATTCAGCAATCGTCTGTGAGCCTAAACATGCATTGTTACGGAATTATTTTTGAATAACTGTACCTAGTTTGATCGATACGTACGTAGCACAAAGGAAGAAGATTTTAGTTTTCTCGTAACTAAAACACTCAAATAATTTGACATAGTTGTGTTTTTTAAGTATGTAGCACAAGGGAGATCATCCTATCCACTTTGAAGGGATTGAAAAAAAAAAAAAAAACCTGTGATGAATAATTCAATGAAAGTAAATAGAGCAGTTACAGTTCTAATTGACCAATTTGCAAGTTTTATTTAATTATTTCTTGATCTACATAAAATATATACACACAATGTTTTCATAAATTTCAAGCTGACGTGCACAATTACACGATGAACCGAGGCCCAACAAAGCACTTCCAATTAATGTGTAAGTTACGAGGAAAATGATAATCTTAAAAATCAAGTCTAGCTAGGAACTCAAGGAAGCTTTCCGAAAATGTAACCGATTCGGAAACCACATCATGGATGTAGAAATATGCCTACATCTTGTTGGATTCACAAAAGAATTACTCCCTCCGTCTCAAAATTATTGTCTAATTTGATATCTCACTTTTAATACAATTTGAACTAAAACTAAAAACCTAAACTGAACAATAATTATGGGACGGAGGGAGTACAAGAGACAAAAACCCTATTTTCATTGCAATCAACAAATACCAAGCAAAGCCAACCATGGGAGAATGGATTCGTGCTTTTCTGCAAAACAAGAAAAAAAAAAAAGTAGTACCTCTAATTCTCTTCCATTTCAGAGTGGGTTTGTTAATCTGGGAAAATGGAGTGGAGGACTGTTGAGATATTTATATTGGTAGGGATGGAGGCGGAGAGGGGAATTGCGAGATGAGTAAAGAACCCTAGTCAATATATCATGTCCTTTCCATGCCCCTCCCTCTTCCTTTTTTTGATCCAAAAGCTAAAACTTTTACTACATCCGTCTTAAAAAAAACAGTCCACGTTGAGTATTGAAATCTGTACTAATTTATACTATTTTTAGTACAAATTTCAAAACGCGATGTAGATTATTTTTTTTAGGATGAAACGAGTAATTAATTACTCCTCGGTCTAGAAAAGAACAAAAAGAAAGTCGATCCATTTTGTACTCTGTGGTACAACAAAATAGATTTTTTTTCCCTCCGGACAAAAGGAGCATTATTTTAGCCATGGTTTGCTAAGTAGGAGTATTAATTAATTGTTACTTTTCGGAATTAATATTTTCGCTGTTCATTTGGGGCAACACATTCCTTATATTTTTGCCAAATGACGTTAATTAATACAAATAATCAAATATTAGGCCAATGCCAAAGTGCGATACAATAAGGAAAGATTAATAGTATGTGTTTTTGTAGTCATTTATATTGAAATGGCGATATATACTATAGATATATCTCAACTATTTTTTTTTTCCTGAATCATAATTTCTTAATGATGTTAGCACTAAATTGACATAAAAATTCAAAGTTTGTATTTGTTTCAAATTTAGCCACGAGCTTGTGGTATGTATATCTCCTGCCTTACGAGTTTGCTCATGGTTATTGTGTTAAAAGAAGAAGAAAAAAAAGTCTATTAATTTGGTGCATTTTAAGTATTTTAAGACATAATATTGATACGAACTGCAGGGAAAACAGTTCCATTCTTCATGTTCCGCATGACAGCCTTATGAATGAACGTTGGACAGAAATTGTGATAATAAATTTTTCCATATGGTTGCTGAAAGAGTCAGTTTTTGGTCCATTGGCCTTAGCTTGCTCTTTTCTTTTCTTTTCTTTATTTTTTTTTTTCTGAATTCTCCTTTTGTCCTATATATGTTTATTTAAAAATTGAGTTTATTATTTTGGAACTGTTTCTATATCGCAAGGAAAGGTAAAAATGTGAGAAAATACTAGCATATGTGTGTATTTAAAAAATACTTGTTGGGAGAGTTTCCCACGAAAGACACCTACCCGCCTCGAATCCAAATTAGTTAGAGTAATGATTTCGGATACTGAGTGTATATTATTAAAAAAATAATAATAATTAAAACACCTCTAATCTATAGTCATTGCTCTATTAATTGCGACTTGGTTTTTTATAAATCAGGAATTTTGTTGTGACTTGATTAGTTTTTTTTTTTTTGAATAAGGACTTGATTAGTTAATTATCTTGGAACTTCACTGACCATAATATATATATATATATATATATGTATGTATATAATGTGAAAATACGTATCTCTGAAGGCAAGAGTCTAATCCACTAATAATACATTAAATTGATTATATCCCACCCTTAAATCTACCAAAAGATGGTTGCTCTTAAATATTTGATCCATGACAGATGGATTCCAACCAAGATTACCATACCATTTGAAGTTGTAGAAATTCCTATTCCACACAGTACTGGTCACCCACCATTGGAACTCAGTTCTTGGTTGTAACCAAGGAAGAAGATTCGTTAAATAAAACACTAAATTCGATCCAAAAAATAATCCACTTTGTTGTATTATTATTTTAATTCAATAAATTAGATTTTTTTTCCTTTAGCTAGGACAGCGGAGGAGAAATTTACAAGGTTTAATTTCCTTTGTTGGTAGCACAAGGGAGATGATCATATCCACTTTTGATGAAGAAATAAAATTAGACTAGCTTAACCAAAAAAAAAAAAAAACACTTTAATAGCTCACTAGTTGTTAAACCCACACGATGTGGGGTTTATTCATATACACTTATAAAAAAATATTTTAAATTTCAAATGTGGTAAATACAATGAAAAAATTTATTTGTAGCGATAGATATTATATGAGCACAGATTACATGATCACTATAAATAAAAATATTACATCTATAAAATAATAGTAGATCACAATTGCACAGGAAAAATGTAATAACACGATAAATATACATCTTATACAACTAAAATTAAATGGTATAGATTAATTTATGCACAAATGAGTCCTTCGACTAATCACTAAGTATAAGAATAAAACGTATAATTTATGGAAAATTATGTTTACACAGATTTTTTTTATAAGAATACAATTTATAATTTATGCATAAGTACATTCTAAGGATATCTAGTAAGTGGCATGGGTTCAAGGCTTCAAGTGTGTCTTATGCATCTTGAAATTTTTCATTAAAAATGCACAAACTTGATATTAGCATTGGAATAGAAAATCATTTATGATTACGCTTTTTTTCCCTTCTAACTTTGAATTTATTTGTCACAGTAAACACATTAATTTACACTAATTTAAAAATAAATAATAAATATAATAATTCAACAAAACTTGGATATACACATTAATAGATAAGATTAATAATTTTGATGTGTTGAAGCCTTGATCAGTGCAAAACAATGATGTCAATTAATCAATTATTGTAAACTAATGGTATACTATAAATATAAATGTAACATTTGAAGATAACAAAATCTCAACAATTTCCTTATCCCAGACTAACCCAAAAATTATCTATAAAAACACTAAATTCTTCCCAGCAGTGTATTATTTTGTCTTTATTTTGATGATTTAAAACGTATTTCTGTTGCGAGCTTTAAAGATTGAATCCATTCTGGATGATGATTGATGTGATGTCTTCTTTTGTGGCTGGACCTCTGGATTGTGGATCAAAGCTACATAAAATAATTAGACAAATAATCACTACGTTTCAAAATAAATACTATGTTTGAATCTTCACATTCAATAAAATTTTCATGTGAATAATTATTTTGACAGAGAAAAATAGGTTTTTTTTTTTTTTTTTGGT